CACATTCCCCTCCTGTTCTGAAATGTGATTTGTCCTTTTCATATGTGTTCATTTTTTTTAATTGTATCCTTTGGTATATATAGCTGTGTCTATTTTCTTCCACTATTTGATCTGAGGAAGTGGGTCTGGCCCACGAAAGCTCATCATCTAATAAACCATCTTGTTAGTCTTTAAAGTGCTACATTGTCCTGCATTTTGCTTCAGCTACCCCAGACTAACCACGGCTACATTTCTATCACTATAGCAGAGATAGTGAGACTGCTGATTTTGTAAGTTTTTCTATAATTAGTTCAATAGTCTATAACCTAAAAGGCTGTCTATTTGTGTAATTTGTTCAAATTCTTCCATGAGAATTGCAGTGCTAATCCAGAATAGACCTGGAGACCACAGTTTTGGGACTTAAAACTTTGTCAGGGAAAGCTTAAGCAGATCTGAGATAAGGATCAGGCTTGAAAGTTCCTTTGTACCTGAAATTCAGCTGATAAGCCTCGTGGCAGCAAATAATCACTGCAGGCATTCCTTGGATGAAGAATAGGTAATGTACTTACGTGCTTTGAAATAAATTTCTGTTTCCTAGGCACACACCAATAACTAGTTGAATTCATTAGTGTAACTCAATGGACTGTTCAGACAGTTCATAAGTAGCTTACTACAAACTTCAGAGAAATCAAGATAATGACCTTATTACACCACTAGGTCTAGCAACATGTTGCTATCCTTTTGATCTCTGAATCAGTAGACTCTAGTAATTAAATATCTTAGACAAGAACAGAAGCTTAGCATCTAAAAGGTAATTGTCATGTTGTTGAACTTCTAACAAAGTTGTAGCTAAACACAGACAAGTACAATTAGTACCTACTTGTAATTCTCTAACAATACAGGCAAGGGCTCTAGCCTGTTTAAAATGGCTTTACTAACAGTGTTCAAGGAAGAGCCAAGTTTACCATTCAGTGCTCTTCTCTTATGTCCATGTGAATTGTTTTTAGGTTATACAACCTGCTGGCTCAGCATGACAGGTGACTAAAGCCAACAGTGGAGAACAGTAGAGTCCTTTATGGACAACTTTGATGTAACTCTTAATTTTATATTCAGTACCCAACTACTATAAAGATGTCCATAGTAGAAATGCCTAGCTAGGTGTTCAACTGTATATAGCATTGTAGTTGGTCATAGCTGCTTAGCACTTTGCTTAGCAAGTACTGAGTTTGTCCTTGTCTCAAAGAGCTTGGATATTAAAGCAGCACAAAATAGTCAGTGGAGAAGAGGACAGATGAGACTGGAGGAAACTGACAAAATAAAATTATGAGGTTGTTTTTTTGGCTGGTGCTATATGCCCCACATTAACTTTTTTCAGGCTCTTCACCTTTTAAAGAGAATGAAGTTGTTTCTGTCGCAGTATAACCCATGTGGTTTGAAATTGACATGCTATTCTGATCCTGAGGGCTTTATGTTGTTGTAATAACAAAATCAAATCCATCTCTGGTTCTTGCAGCAAATCTCCATGAGTTCTGCCTTGGTGACTTGTATTGTCACCAGAACCCTTCCATGGAATGATCGCTTGTATCTACATATCGGTGTTGTGTACTTACACATATTGTGGTGCCATACACCAAACAAAGTCATAGTTCCCATGTACCTTCTGGTGCAGTTCCCAGAAGTGACTTATCGTGCTCATGGCATGAAATTCTACATACAAAGCATTCTTGGAACAGGTGTTTGAGGCACCTTTATCTGAGTGTTTGGAAATATGAGCGATCTTGAGCAAGAGAAAAGGACTGCATAAGCCTGAGAGTAGCTGTGCGGAGGAGATGGGGACTGGACTTAAAACACATTGATCCATGGATTTCTTTTTTCCAAAAAAGTGGTGGCATAGGAAGGGGTCCAAACTAGCTCAGATAGTACTGAAGCTGGTGATTTGTTTCATAGCTGTGATGCCAGAGTAATATTTTATGGTTGTGCACGTGAAGTCACATTTTTCAAAATGTTTCCCAAGTTTATGCACTTTAAACAATTTCTGTTAATTTCCTTTCTCTCACTTGCCTTCTAATGGTGTACAGTATGTATAGTGTGGTATGTCAAATAAGTCCAGAGAGACAAGAATCCAAGTCTTTAAACTAACTCCTGACCCTCACTTTAAACTAACTCCAATATCTGAATCCAAAAATAAAGCTTCACTCCAGTATCAAGCCCAAAGTTTTACTTAATATACTGATTGAATCTTGTGTCCTTGAAGGTCCCTACCCTTTTTGTGAGCTGTTTATTCAGCAAGCAATAGAAAACAAAATAACTGCTCTTTCTTCTATCAGTAAGACTGTAAATAAATTTTATTATCTTGTTTATATTTTAAATCATTTAAATTAACTTGTTTGTGTAATTTATATGTGCAGATATAACATTTGTATTTGTGTGATCATGTGTTTAATACCCTATTGTAAGAAGAATGAGTCACTTTTGTAACCTAAGGTGTGGTTCTGCATAAAAAGTATCTGTAAGGATGGCATGGTGGGTTCTTCATTAGTGACTTTCAAGTCAAACTTGCTTAATTAGAATAAAAAGAAGTGTTTTTTTAAATTAACCTGGCATTAGAATGCACCTGAAGTTTAATTCTGGTTTGTGTATTATTTCTAGTAATAAGATGACTGCTAAACTCAGATTTAAGTAATGCTTATTTAGTTTCATATCTCTTTTTGGGTTACATTGGTGTAAATCAGGGCACAGTCTGGATCTCTGAATGGAACTTGACTAGTCTGTTGCTCAAGAACAATTTGGTTTGCTCTCCCGGGCCATATTGACTCTGCAGTGATGCCAGGAGTAAAGGTTTCTTTGGTGACCAAGGCCCATAGCTATTATTTGCACTACGCCCAAAGAGCAAGTCTGAATAAAAAGGTGCCACATCTTACTCTTCTGCCCCTAAATCCAATGAAAATCTGAATTTCCCTACTTTTTTTGCAGTTAGTTTCATTGTGAGTATTGCCAACCTCAAGTGTTCAAAATCATTAATTGCCCTTCCAAATCATTGGATTAAAAAAAGTGGGATTAGTTTCTAAATTAATTTCTGGGGTGACTAATAAGGAACTTGAATCCCAAAGCAATTGTTTTGGAAGAGTCACCTCAAAAATAAGGATTTAACGTGTTTTCATCTTCTCTCTGATGCAGGGAAGTAGCAGAGTGCATTCTGACATGAGTGGTGCTGTTTGTATAACACTGCCTGATATAAATGTTTAGAGATACACAAGCTATCTCTGCCTCAGAGTGCAATTCTCATTATTTCTTACAACAGTTGTGAGTTCTAGTCACCTCCTAGTGATGTTAACCTTGTCTTGAGGTTTACAGCTTTACAAACTAGTATCAGAAACAATGTACCAGTGGATTTGGTGGGGTAACAAAGGTAATATCAATATTATCATACTCTTATTCAGCTAGGGCTAATGTACAGCATGGGGAAGTGATTTTTTATTTATTTACTTTTATTTTTCCTTGGCCACTTTCTTAAAGGCTCATGAAAAAGGGGGTCTTGAGAAGGACATGGAGGAGAGGTTAGTGCCTAGAATCATTCTGATAGCTGGTTCTTATGACTAAATATGTTTATATTTCCCACAGGATTACAAGCAGGAAGAAGACCCAGCAAAATTTAAATCTGTCAAGACTGGACGTGGTCCTCTAGGCCCCAACTGGAAGGTGTGGGTTACAGATCTCAGCACATCATGGTTGTTTTTGTGACTTAAGTGTGATTGTCAGGGTGTGTGGAGGATGGATGCTAATTTGTGTAATAAAGGGAGGAGGTGTTCTCATCTGTTTCAGTGAAGGGGCTTGTGTGTGTCCTGAATGGGTGGGCTACTAGTCCTGTGGGTTCTGTCCCTGAAAAAGCTTCCTGCAGTTTCTGATCTCAGTGAGTCATGTGACTATCCTTCTCTCTTTGCAGAAAGAGCTGGGGAAACAAACAGATTGTCCACACATGTGTGCTTACAAACTGGTAACAGTCAAGTTCAAGTGGTGGGGTCTGCAAAATAAAGTTGAGAACTTTATACAGAAGGTAAGTGAATCTGGTCAGTACTGGGTTTGTGCAAGGGCATAGTGCCAATAGAGAAAGACCATGGCTCTGCTTCTGCATCCCAAGGCCCTATCACTCTTGGCCTTTTCTCTGAGATCCCACTCACCGCTCAGTCCTCTGCCCCTTCTCATCCCTTTTTCCCCCTGCAGTGTGAGCAGTGTGGTGCCTTGGAGGGAGAAGGCTGAACAGGGGAGGGACTTCTGGGCAGAGCGCTGGAGGGGCCTAAGGCTGGAGCAGGGGCATAGGGTGGAGTCAATCTGTGTGCTGGGCCCACATAAGATTAATCCATTACCTGCTGCTAATGTAGGGTGGCAAGAAAAGTTGAGATTCATATCAATAGGTAACAAGTCTTGCAGAAATGTTTTTCCTATCTGTTCAGCACACTAGCGTCCCTGGTCCCTCTTCTCACCTGGAGAAGATGCCACTCACTTGAAATCATGGTAATTTATGAGTGATGTTAATTCAGCTACTAGACCTGATTTAGTCCCCCAATGGCTCTTGTGGTTTTAGTGACATTTTCCAAATTTGAGTCGTTCCTTCCTTGCCGTGTGACTTTCATACAGCAAACTAAATGAGAAGTTTACCAGATGTATCGGTGAATCTGACTGTATGCAAAGTCAAGTCAAATGTACAAAGCAAACCAACTGAAAAATAACTACTACTGTGTTTTAGTTGTGACACCAAATGTTACTGTAACAACGGTGAAGGGGAAGTATTTCAGATAATTGTGATTATTTTTTTTTCAGTTAAGTGTGGCCCTTTAAGAGAATTCAACTGCCCACTTTTCTGAGTCAGTGAGTTAGGTGGTGTGACTAAGTTATTTAGGATGCCACAAATGACAGCCCTTTTAGACAGAACCCTTAAACACCTTCTAGGATCCTGGTTATAGGTCTGAAAACTAAACCAATTAAGCTCTTTTTCTAGGACCTGTCATTATTGGACTATCAATGCATTGATATATTTCTCTTTTTTTATTTCTAAGCCATCTCCTTGTTTTGCCTCATGCCCCTGTTCAGATGCTTGCCTGACTATAGGTGCCACATTGCTCATATCTATAAAAAATAGGAAGTGTTTAATACTTCCCAAAGAATCTTCTTTACATAATTCATCTTTAAATGAAAGTCAGGTAAAATGTGGTGTAATATTTAGGTTCTTGTTTAAAAAACAAAACAAAAAAACCCCCACACCTTTTATAAAACCTTAGACATTTTCTTGATCGTAAGTTTTTAAAAATGTTTCTGGACTCTTCCCTTGCAGTGTTTGTAAGCTGCTCATTGCAACTATGCTGAGCATAAGCACCAAATTGTGAAAGTGATTAGAAACATAATACACATTTATAAGGCTTTGGTAGCATCAGTGTCTTAGTGTTTGGGATTCCTTTGCATAATTAGGTTCCATAAACAATTTTCCTCCAAAAAACATGTTTTTAGTATTGAGAATGACTTGCCTGTGGATTGCAACTGTTAATTACAAAACAAACCAGCCATGAACAAAGTGTGCCTTACATTGCGCTCTTCATCAGCATCTTGTCTTTCAGGTCATAAGCTCCTCAGGGCTGGGCTGTGTGAATGCCGGTGCAAGCGGCCAGCTCCTCTTGGATTGTACTAGATAATGAATAATAAATAACTCAGCCTCTTCTACAATAACCTCAGGAGCTTGTAACTGGCCACGGACAACTTATTTAAAAACCCACTCCTTTCCTTCAGTAGCGTGTTTAGTATGATTCTCCTGTCCTGCCCTGTTAGTCTATCTAGACTGCAGGCTTCTTTCGGAAGAAGCTTTTCCGGAAGAGATCTTCCGAGAAAACTTCTTCCGAAAGAGAGTGTCTACACAGCAAAAGTGCATCAAAAAAGTGATTTGCTTTTTCAACAGATAGCGTCCACACTGAATGATGCTTTCTCGCATGTAAGTTGTGATTACTATGGACAAAATGGCCATTAAGGCACCTGTGCTTTTTTCTTTCCTCTTCTTTCTAAATAACTCCATCTTCCCCATCCCCACACACCGTATTCTGAAAGAGCTCTTTTGGAAAAAGTCGTTTTCCTCATAGAAAGAGGTTTACCAATGCCGGAAAACCCCCTCTGTTCTTTCTATTTTCTTTTGAAAGAATATGATTGCAGTGTGGCTGTAATTCAAGTTTTTTCGGAAAAACTACCGTTTTTTTCTCACACTCTCATAAACTGCTAAGAAATAGGGCAGATATACCCTAACGCTGTTGATTATTCCCCCATGAGAATAATCCAGCCATAAAAGTAAACTTATGTCTTTCTGCACTGGCTAACGAGAAGTCATAAAATCAGTTTCCTGAGGTTTTCCAGTCCTTGCTTCATCCCAAGAACACTGGATTGTGATGAGTAATTCTTTTCTGCTAGTCTCATCAAATAAAAATTTCTGATCCCAAAGAACCAGCCACACACCTAGGTCAATACATAACTTGGATCTTACCCCAAAATCACACTTTCTAATTCTTTAGTATCTAAAGGTTTATTTATAAAAAGAAAGAAAGGCAAGAGTTAAAATTGGTTCAAGGAATCAAATACATTAAATTCTTGGTTCAGGCTTGTAGTAGTAATGTAATAAACTGCTGGCGTAAGTCAAGTCTCTGGTTGCTTCCAAATCATTGACAGGACCTCAGTCATTTTGGTAATATGCTCCCATTAGTATAAGTCCGTAGTCTGGAGGCTGGAGCAGGAAATAGGCAAAATTGGTGGTGCTTTCAGGGCTTTTATAGCTTCTGCCATGTAGAGAGAAATCCATTGTCCCAAACAAAGCCCTCAGTACAGCTAGTGGAAAATTACAGGTAAAGATGGAGTCACATGTCCATACACAGATTTGCTTAGTCACAGTAGAAACCATTAGTGACCCTCTAGTGTGAATGTTCACAGGAGAGTCCATTAGGTGCAGATGGGCATCTTCCATGTGATCTGAGTAGCTCCTTCATAATGTGCTGTCTAAATACCTCATGAGTCTTATCACAAGGGCCTGGCCAATCATTTGAGATCCAGGTACAGAGTTAATATTCATAACTTTTCATGGATACCCTCCACGCCACATTTTGTACAAGATTTGTTGCAAATATATAACAGTGGTTGCCACTGTAATCTATATGGTCACATTTTAATCAGATAACATCATAATATGATACAATTAAAGTAAATAATTGAGGCGTTCACCTCCTTATTTAAGGAATGGATGGCACTGTCCTAGCTTCATGAATGGAAATTCAGACACAGACACTGGATGGGGGACTTGGAAAAGATGCATTTCTTTGGGGATTCGAGACATTGGGTGATTACTTTTGTTTCCATTGACTTTGACAGGAGTTGTCAGTCTCCAGGTGCAGCAGCCATGCTGGAAGGTGGATGAGGGAGAGTCAGTGCTATTCTTCAGTGCTGCTTGCTTATCAAGAGCCCGAAGTGGGCATGGTACCTAACAAACACAAAAGAAATGCCCTGTCTTAAAGAGCTTACTATCTAAGTAGACACTGCAGAGAATAAGAATAGAACATTAAGGCAAAATGACTGAACTGATGCCTCTTGTACCAGGGATGGAAGTGATGTGATGGGCAAGCCTGAATTAGTCAATGTGTACTTGGTGGACATGGACACACTTCCTCCTGCCCCCCCCCAAACATCAACACAGGGCCAGGAAGGAGGAGGGGTATGGCAAGTGGAGGGCTCTCTCTGGATGCTGTAGTGAGAGCTAATGGGTTAGATGGGGGAGCAGAACCAGCCCACAGACTGGCTCTTCTGCCGGGTGAGTGTGGGATGTTCTTGCTCTCGAATATCCTCCAGGGGAAGGATCTGACAATCCCTTTCACCAGGGCCTCCCTCCCCAAAGCCAGGACCCAACTCCTCTGGGACCTTCCACCTCCCCAAATTTCTTTAATCTAACACTGCTAATGGACTTTCAAATTGAACAATCGCAAAATCCATAACTGCATGTCAAATAGTTAGAGGTAGTTCCTTCTCTTTTAAGCCTATTACATACTCTCAAGAGACTGCTGAGCCAATTCCACTGACAACCTTATTGTATACCCCTAACTATAGGCGAAAACCCAATATGCTCCATTTATGGACACTTAAAAAATCTGGAACTCTAAATCATAGCATCCCTGGTTTCTCTGACAAGGGAATTTCAATTGTAATGAACTGGAAATAGTTGGGTTTTTTTTCTCTCCCGCCCCCCCCCCCCCCCCTCTTGCCAGGCAAAGTGATCCCAGAGGGAAGTTAGATCTGTAACAATTCCCAGTGCACACGTTATTGACACTGTACATTGACCGACTGTACATATTGTGCTGCATGCTGAAATGTTGGGAGATTCTTTCTGGAGCTTTTTAAGCTTGTTCCCTCATCTTTGCTTTTTGCAGCAAGAGAAACGTCTCTTCACAAATTTCCATCGGCACAGGCAAAGTGATCCCAGAGGGAAGTTAGATCTGTAACAATTCCCAGTGCACACGTTATTGACACTGTACATTGACCGACTGTACATATTGTGCTGCATGCTGAAATGTTGGGAGATTCTTTCTGGAGCTTTTTAAGCTTGTTCCCTCATCTTTGCTTTTTGCAGCAAGAGAAACGTCTCTTCACAAATTTCCATCGGCAGTTATTTTGCTGGCTTGATAAGTGGGTTGATCTGACTATGGATGACATTCGCAGGATGGAGGAAGAGACCAAGAAACAGCTGGATGAGGTCAGTGGGGAGGAGAGCAGGTGCGGACTGTGAGGCACTATCTGGATTCTAGGCCCACTATGGGGTTGGGAAAGAAGGCATACCTGCTTGTCATGGCATGCAATGTGCTCACTTATCTCATGGGTCATAAATCTTATGGTGGTTTAGGGGTCAGATTGACCATATAGGGTGTATCTTTATTATGGGCTGGATTGATAGGCAGTGATCGATCCACAGGGTCGATTTATTGCATCTAATATGTGCAGTAAGGAGACCTAAGCATGTTGAGTTTAGCTATGCTATTTACATAGCTGAAGCTGCATAACCTGAGTCAGATTCTTTTGAGTTCTGGCTTTCTAATTAACATGGACTATTTGTGTTGCTATGGTCAACTTTTTTATTGGTTTAATTGGTAATTCAGAAGATCTGTTGCTATTTCAAAATAAATGACACTATTGTCTGTCTTGTTACCCTAATGAGTATTCAGCTCCATGAGTTCGATAAGTAGGTATTGTGTGCTGCTTTGAGAAATGTAGATTTGGTGCTGGAATTCTCACACTCTTGTAAAGAGTATTCCTTGTCCTTTCACATTCTGAAATGTACTTGATTGTAGTACCATCCCTATGCTTTCTGCTCTTGGGATAATAGAACCCTCAAAGGGGCTGTAGCCTTGCTAGAAGTGATTTCAGGACCTGCACAGCTTGTGTTTTACAAACTGTTTTAGAACAATTTTCAGTAATGTGAGCACTTCACCTCTGAGGCAGAGAAATTCTCATCCTCATGCCCTTTTCTAATATGGGGCTGATGAGATGATTACCAGCATATGTTGGATCAAATAGCTAACGATGTTTATTTTCTTTCAGATGAGACAAAAAGACCCTGTGAAAGGAATGACAGCTGCAGATGACTAATGTGGCTTCCTCCTTGTGCACTGTATGTACCCAGAGTATCTCCCACATTTTGTTTTGACATTCAGTGCAATTTAGCAGAAATCAAATCAATTCAGGCCAGCAAATAGTCAGTACAGAGATTATGGGAGTCAGAAATCTGTTACAAGGTAAAACGAGCATCTCTATAAAGACACTTTTCACAATGCCAGTTGACTTTAAGAACGATTTTAAACTGTGAACAAAAGGAAAGTGTTAAGGAAAGCATCACATTAGAACAGTAAACACAAAGGTACACTGATGACTCATTTCTGTGTAATGTTCCCGTCATTTTTCAGAGAGGGGCCTTTTCAGTAGTTTCAGTAATTAATAAAGGAGCTTGAGTCCAGCAGCCTTGCTCTTCTGGACAGTTAAGGGTGTATTTGCCTTGGTTGTGCCCAGCAACGATATTCCTCTACAGGCAAAGGCTTTGGGGCAACATGCATAGGTCAAAAGATTCTATTTTTCTCTTTGTCTCTGTGAGCATTGCTGTAGATACACTGTGGTGCTCTGATACTTGGAGGCAGTGGTGAAAATAAGGGGGAGTGCCTGGAGGCGCAGCTCCGGCAAGAACTGGCTGAGCTGTGGTAAAAGCCAGCAGGGAGCTATTTAAGAAGATCTCGGTTGCAATAGGATAGTATCTGTAAGAAATTTAAGTTCCTTTCACCCCTGTTTGGAGGCCAAAATATTTTTGCATAATTCAGTTTTTTCCTTGTTAGTCAATTTTTGTGCCATTGCTTTAGGCAATGTACAGGTGATTAGAACAACTTTTTTATACTTCTGCACTGCTGACATGAAGCAAACTGGCTATGGGATTGGAAGCAATGTTTTTATCCATAGACTTTTAGCAATATTAGTGGGAAAATGGTGAAAGCCAAATGCCTGAAAGGCACCACTGATCAAGAGGAAAAAAGTGTAGTGTAGAAGGTTATACAAGAAGGTTATACTGATAACATTATTTATCTAGAGGGCAGTAGCTCCTATAGTATGCTCTTTGCTTTGTAAATAGACAAAGATGCAGTACCTTTGAGTCTGAAAAGATAAGCTAGACAAAGGGAAAGGTAAAACTTAAAACAACTAATAGTCTGGTAGCACTTTAAAGACTAACAAAACATGTAGGTGGTGGTATGAGCTTCCGGAGTGTTGGAAGTCCAGAACCAAAAATAAATAAGTGAATGTAGGGGGGAGAGGCAGTGGGTAGATAAATTTCAAAGGGAAAGCTAAGCCAGTATGTAAGAGGGAAAACTAAAAATCAGCAGATAGTCTATTAGCGCCTAAAGACTAGATAGTTAAGAGGCAGATAAGAACCATTAGCTTGCAGTATAAAGGAAGAGTATTAACACTAGATTCTACACAGACATAAAGAACCATATGCACCTTCATTGGTTGGTTGACAATGTCTGAACCAGATGGGTGCTGCAATGAGGTGAAAGGCATGTCGTAATCTCACTCCTTTGTTAATAGTCAGATTATTCCCAGTTCTATCGAAACCGTATTGGTTCTGTTCCAGCCTATATCAAAAATAATCTTAATTTTTAACATTTCAAACTAAAATCAACATTGCCATCCTTTTTCCTATGAGCCTTCCCCTTCCTTCCTAACCTAACCACTTAACCCTACTTCCTTGGCACACCTCTCCTGAAAATCTTCCACCTCCCTTTACATAGCATTATGCTAAGTAGTCTACACACATAGAGTAGAAAATGGCCTGTGTGTTGAGCACCCAGTCAAAATAGACAAGAGACCCAGATTCAGAGAGGTGTAAGAATGTGAAAGCAACATGAAAAGAATGTTTTCCATTATTGTCATTTCCCCCCTGCTTTTTAAGGGTTTGGGATATATATTTTTGCTAAGGTTGGGGAGTCCTAAAGGGAAGGAAGGAAAGGTTCCCATTCTCTAGAATGATCAGAAATTCAAAGTGGTAGAAATTCAAAGGCACTTACTCCAGAAATGCTTCTGCTGTTGTCTTTCTGGTGATGAAAGGGTTACCCATTGTTGGGTGTGGCACTGACCTTCGGTGGCCCTGGGTTCCCTTTTCCACTGTCACTCATGGTATCTGTTGGCTGATCTGGGAGCTGGGGGCTCTCTCTCTGTGCTTCTGGTGACCACTCCAACCGTAATCTTCCCTCTCTGCTCCACCAGCCCCTGACTAAGCTGCTAGTTAGTCAGCCCCTGTGTTTTGCTAAACCCCATAGTCCGCTTCTTCCTCTTTTATACCAACCACATCCCATCTGAAACTGAGCTTAGGGTCTTCTCCCAGAAACCTGTTGGCATGGAAGGTGCTAGATAGATTGTCCTCTTTTGCAGTCTCTGCAGATAGACTCTTGATTGACCTTGACATGGTCAAAGGTTAGATCTGAAGCTTGATGGGACAGAATGGAGTCCTGCTGCTTATGCTGGATTAAGCCTGTGGCTGAATAAAGGACTTTCCCTTCAGGGCTGCCAATATTGCATCTTGACTGGCGTGTTTAATTTCAGAAATGGTTTTTGAAATGTTTTCCTGATGTCTCTTTCTCCTAGTTTGCAAGACAGTCGGCAGGAAGGCCCAGAGACTTCACCTTCTTGATCAACGGACCATCTCTGGACCAAGCCTTTCTATATCCAATTGGCAGGCGATTTTAAATCTCCCATAGCTAATTCTAGATGCCCTTTAATATTGTGAGCAAATAGACAGTCTGGTACCAAGCACTCCAGTGTTAGCACGTATGTGAAGGAGGCAGCTCCTTGGAGACGTGTGACTAATAGATTGCTATATTTATGACTCCTCCCTCCTTTTTTCATTGTGTCCCTGGTTCAGACCAATTTCCATGTGGCCCTGTTTGATTTCCGCGTGGCTTTTTTAACCTGAAATAGTCTTTGTGATGTGGTGATTTAGATTTTTCCTTTGTTTTCAACACTGGGATAAACTGCTGCCTTTGTCCCGACTCAGCGCTTCACCATTCTTTGAGTGTCCATTTGTGGAGAGGGGAATTGTCAGTATCTATTTAGAGTGCAAAACTATTCCACAGAATTCTAGGCTCTGACAATATTATTGGCAACCAAGCTCCAGTGCACAGCCCTGTGTTGCCAAGGCTAGGTCTGCTGTTAAGATACCACCATATGTGGCCACTGCAACAGCATTACTTGGTCTGTCTAAACACACAACTTAAAGGAACAGAACAGCAGAAAAAGCATCTTTTATCTAGGTATGCGTCTTTCCTTTGGCCCTTGGAACCATGTTGGTGCTTTCCAGTTGTGTATATAAATCAGCCTTTTAAAATTGGTATAACTTGCCTGAAGAGTCACACAATCTTACTGGGCTGCCCTTTATTATTAATTATCATAATTTGTAAAACAAATGCTATTTTATTTGTCCATCAAAAGAAAATGTGTCTCCCAGGACAAGCAGAATTTTGTGATCCTGATTGGATATGGAGATTATTTATGCCTATCACGCTCAGATGCCTGGATTTGTGCTGCTGTTCAGCAATAATATTTTTCTGTGTACTCCCCATTATGAAATTGCTAGAAGTTAGTTTGCATCTGTGCTGTAAAAAGGCCATGTGAAAGACCAAGCAATCTTTGCACAAGACAATTGCAATTTCCTAGAGTTGCAAAGGATGCTGCTGAGGGGCAGAAAACTGCTCCAGGACCCATTCTTTCTTTGTGTCCTTATGGTGGTATCTCAGCTTTAGACAATCAGATAAGCTGGACAGAATCAAACAAACACTACTTTATTAAATACATGAGGAAACATGATTAGGAGAAACAAGGGCTTTCCTGGCTGATTGGTAGAGGCCAGTGTTTGGCTTGCTTCTGCCAGCAGCTATGTAATCAAACTTCATTCCCCTTCTCTGAATGGGATTGAAGTAAAGTAAAATGTAAATGCCAAAGGCAGCTGTGATGTTACCATTTCCACCTCCCCCCTACTTTATTTTTTGAGTAATGCAGGCTTCATTCAGTATGCCTGGCATGTGTTCAGCCTTCCTACAAACCTCCCTCAGCTAGTAGATTCAGAATCAATCCCTTGCCAAGCTGAATGAAAGTGCGGGGGTGAATTGTTCTAAGTGCAGAGGAAAGGGATGCACAGGGCTTGCTCTGGAGGAAGAGGCTGGTTTTCACTCAGGCGGCAGTTCCCCTCTATCCCCCCCCTTTTTTTTCCGCAAGTCTGTTCTTTTGCCTTACTGATGTCTAAGTGCAATAAGCTCTGTTGAATTGTACTGGTAACTCTGGCTGGCTGATCCTTCTCAGTGACCTCAGAGGGCTTTTGGGAATGTGGATTTTCACATACTCATGAGGCAGATGTAAAACCAGCACATTATTAAATCTGAGCTATTCAACCTTAATCTTCAAGACTATTTGGGACCAGCAAAATGTTTGTGGCGCTATTTCTCTAGAAGTTTGAGAAGCAGAGTCCAGGAGCGTTTGTCCCTTATTAGAGCTCCCTCAATCTAGAATATGTTAATTAAGAATTGACACATTGATTTGCTAACATCTTGCCAGTTGCAGAGTTTAATGAGGGATTCTTACACTTGGGGATAACTTGAGAATATGTAACACGATTGTTCTTAGATACTTGTGTTTTTTATCCAAGAGATTTTCTAGCTGAACATTTCATCTCCATGGAAACGGATTGTGAGGATTCTAAAGATGGGATCAGAAAAAGATTGTGTATGAGTGTGAAAGCTTGTATTTAAACACACAGCTTTCCTGATTAGCAGTAATTACCAGAAAAATGCAGGAAACTGCAAGCTAAATACATGATTTTAAAAAATTCACCTTTTATCCAAAGTGAAAGTTTTCCTCAAAGTTGGGATAGAGAAATCCTGAAGAGATCTCTGTCAAGGGTAGTCTTGATCCTTAGTTCCCACTAGTGAGAGCATAGTGAAATCCAACAGTCTTCACAGATTGTGTTAGTGTGCTGTATATTTCTTGCATTGGCTTGGGCAAGAACCCAAAACCTGCTGGCTCCTGGAGGGCTTAATGATCAGATGTTTGTTTGTTCTAGGGGGATCGTTGTGCTGTCTCATTCTCTTCAGATCCAAACTGGGTGCCCTGGTTGGATTTTAAAATACTGCAGTTCCAATCGGAAGCAGGTGCTTTGGTGGAGAGGCCCATAGGCTGGGATGTTTTAGCTGGAGTTTACCTGATGGATGCCACAGTCACACTCTGTATTCCCAGCACACTTTCACCTTTCTGGGTTTATTCTCCTACAGCCCCTGCTGGGACTCCCTGACAAGTTTTGATTGGTTCATAGTGCTATCCTTTTACAACATACACTTTGTAGAAATGATTAGATTATCTTGTTGTTTCTTTAATGTGAATTTGTGCCTTTTGTCTCCTAATCTTCCAATACAGGCATATTGGAAACAAATCTAATAAAATCTTAGACAGAGATTTTTGGAGTCTACTTATCTGTTTATTCTGTGTTTCTAATACTTTAGGAGATTTTACATATTGATAAATGCTGTAATCATCATAGAATTATGTGGAGAGGAACCTACAGTTTGCTGGGTTCTTTACAGAACAAACAAGGCCTGATTCTGATCTCACACTAACGTAAATCAGGAGTGAAATGGAATTCCTGTTGTAAAACTGATGTAAGATGTGAATCTGACCATGTTACCTGTATACACAATCTAATATATTAGATGTAATGCAAATAACAAGAGAGGAGAGAAGACAATGGTAAAAATGTTATTTGGTTAAGTCTATTGTGTGAATATCTTGCTGGTCTTTTAATATTAAAATTTTGGTGAAGTGGGTATTTGACAGAGTAAAGGCAGCATAAAAATTTATGGAGGGGTTCTCTCGGTTCTAGAGTGACCATCTTGGGGGAAGGGATCATTTGTTATTTTTCATGGACCCCTTTTCTTGATGAGAGTTGCACTTAGGCTGTCCTTTCTGTGAATGTTGTAGGTACTTTAGCCCTACCACTACTGCTGTGGCAGCTCACTAGGGGTACGTCTACACTGCAACGCTATTTCAGGATACCAGAGTATACTTAAATAGCTATCCTGCGTCTTCACAGCAAGCCTGTTGTTTTGGGTGCACTATTCCGATGTCCCTGTAAACCTCATTCTATGAGGAATAAGGGATGTTTCAGAATGGCGCTTATTTCAAAATTTGGAGCTATGTAGACCGTGACAAATGACAAAATAAGCTATTTCGAAATAGCATCAAAATAAGATACACAATTGTGTATCTTATTTCGAGTTACAGTGCTATGTAGAGGCATCCTAGAACTGGGGATTTTGGAAAAGGGACACAGATTTGTAATGGGGTATCCTGAGCTACTCACAGAAAGGTTTTCCTTTTCCTATTTTTAAATCGAGAAATATCATTGCTGTCAAGCCATTGATTCCCAGTTGATGAGGAGACTCCTGATAAAGTGATACAAGGCCTAAAGGTCTTTCTCTCCTGTCTAGGTAGGGCTGTACTGGGCTATGCTGAGAACAGCTGTGTGTTTCAGGAGAACAGGTAGAGTTTCTAATATAGGAAAATACACTTTCAGTATAAATATGTGCTATTTCCTCAGTAGACTTCTAGCCCCCCAATCCTCAGGGGTTTAGGGATGTTAAATGGTTAACAGGATCCAGCATTAATGTGTGGGCAGGGGGGGCTGTTCTAGCAATGAGGCCCACTGCAAGCAGGGCCCTCCTGTAGCTCAGCTGGATTTAGCCCTGGTTGGCAGTGGGTGAGCCTGGGTCTGCCACAGGGGTGAGCCTGGCTGGAAAGCTGCCCCTGTCGTAGGGGGGATGACTTCAAGCCCTCCACAGCCCCTTTAATGGGTTAACCACTTAAATGTTAATATTTAAGAAGTTAATTAAATGGCGTTTATATTACTAGTGGGGGTAGGGGCTGCAGTTAGCTGTGGCAAAGGAATGAGCAATAGGTGCTCAGCTCCCAATCCTTGTCCAGTGGCAGGGAGTTCCGCGGGCTGCTCGCACAGTCCTGAGGGGGAGGGGAAGGAGCAGGGAGCTTCAGCCCTCTCTGCTACTTAAATGTTAATATTTAAGAAGTTAATTAAATGGCGTTTATATTACTAGTGGGGGTAGGGGCTGCAGTTAGCTGTGGCAAAGGAATGAGCAATAGGTGCTCAGCTCCCAATCCTTGTCCAGTGGCAGGGAGTTCCGCGGGCTGCTCGCACAGTCCTGAGGGGGAGGGGAAGGAGCAGGGAGCTTCAGCCCTCTCTGCTCTCCGGCTTCCCTCACGCGCCTCTGTTTGCGTCACGTGGCCGCGGCTCCCTTTTCGCTCCGCAGGGGCCCCGCCCCTCC